TGGTGAACTGCGGGTGCTCAGCGCGCAAGTGCCGCAACCATGTAGATTGGCTCATGAGCCCTTGCATGTCCTTGTTGAGCTTCCACAATTTGCTCTTGGAACGTGACAATGCGCGGCACTGTACCAGCTCCTTGCCAACTTTCCGGTAGTGGGAGGTAATCTGGGAGTTAGCCAGAAGAAACTCGCGAACTTTGCCCTTCAGCTCTGGGTCCTTGACCTTGTTCTTTCGGCCTCTTTTCTTTGCGGCAGCATTCGGCGCAGAATTCTGGGCGCAAACTTTGGCCCACACGCGTCTTGAAAACTTGAACTTCAGCACGCGCTCTGCCTTCTTTTTGTCCTTGAGGACCTGATGGCCAGCACGAGCCAGAACGCTTCGTGCAGCGCTCGCCTTGTCTGTTGAGCCTTCGGCAAATGAAGCAACTGCCTGCGCTACCTCAGCCAATCGGGCCTGTTGATTGTTCGGCTCGGGCTCCCCATCTTGGATTAACTTCCGCAGCGCGACCTGCTCCTCCTGGCTCAATACACGCCAAGTAGTCCTCGCAACATCGTCAGAACTGCCAGCAGCATTCCTGCACGTGTCCAGGGCATCCTTCAAAGACTGCTTTGGCCTCTCCAAAGCCCTGGCACAAGTCGTCCGTGAAGGCTGCTTGGGCGGCATGGCGGGTGTAAGAAGCAGCTACTTATTGGAGCATGTGTGTGTGGACTTGGTGGCAGATTGCTTCGCTGCGTCTGGAACGGGTCTGGAACGGGTCTGGAACGGGTCTGGAACGGGGTCTGGAACGGTTACGCGACTGGCTTGCACTTTGGAATGCTAGCAAGCAGCATGAAAACATGGTCGTTGCAACAATGTGACGACCGCGAACAGTATCGAACCGTTACCGTATCGTATCGAACCGATAGCGGCGGAATCGTATCGCACCGAACCGTACCAGAGCTTCGGAAAAAACAATACTCTTTTCTTTATTTCCTTCTCCTTCTTCCCTTGCCCCTTTGCTCCTTCTTTCTTGCTCCACGCCATTTCAGTCTTTGCCATTGCACTTGCACACCCGACAAAGAACGAGCGGGGGTGAAATTCTGAGTGTTTCAGGCAGTCTTTGCCAAGCTGCACTTCTTCGTCTCTGTCTTCCTTTCAATATTAGAATCTTATCACAACCCCTCTTGCCAGGACAACCTGGTGTAGTGGTATCACACCTGCTCTGCATATCAGAGGTTGTGCTGGCCTGCTCAGGAACGAGCACAAATGAACCAAACCCCGTCGCAACGAGAAGCAATACATACTGGCAGTGAATCGCACCGTTTCGCACCGAAACAGTTTCAATTCCAAACAATATGAATCGATTCGAACCGAAAGAAAATGAATCAACCATGGTAGAGGAGTTCGTTCTGCTCAGTTGCTGTTTGTGCTGTTTGTGCTGTTGCCATGACACAAACTGACCCCTTGATCTGGCACAAGTCCACAAGGTTAAAGGCCAAAGCAACATATTCTTTCCCTTTAAGCACTGAACCCTTGTTTGATGCAAAATGGCCATGCGATACATCTTTAGCTCCCGCAAAACACAACCGGTGGCCAATTTTCCCTTTTGAGGGGCCCGCAACAAACTTAAAGCCAAAGTTCGGCCCAAACCTGAAGAGTTGAGTGAAAACAGTCTATCATTCGCCCTTTTCATCGTCAAACCCTCAGCCACACCCCACCCAAACCACGCACTTCACGGGGGGTTTGCGACGTTGGCCGCCGGAGCCGGAGGCGCTCGCTCAAGCTCAAGTTTCACCCCAGCGCAGCTACTGCAAATCGCATCCTTGCAGCGCATTCTGTTTCAGAATGCATTTCCCCTACTCCTGCGCAAAGCGCCAACGGACGCTATCATGTGGGGGTTTCTTGGAACGGCGGACCCTTTTTACCTGGTCTTAAAGAGCAAACAGGTCATGGCTGGGTTCCCCTTTTTTGAGAAACACCCATGTAACCCCTATCTACATCTTCTTGAAGCGCTTAGCGGTCGTCTGTGACCTCTCAACAGATGCAGCATCACGCTCAGCATGCTGCGCACGGGAATTCTTACTTTCTGCCACGATGGCTTGCCACTGCGCGACGGAGAAATCATGCTCTGTGCCCGCGCGCTTCAGGTGAAGATGTTTCCGGCCGTGGTAGACAAGCCCTGGCAGGGTTGGCCAAGAGACATCCACAGCAAAAAACATGATGGCCCCGCAAAGAAGTCGTGTAGGGAGAGGGGGCGAGCAAAATGTCAGGCTGGAGCGAAGCTGCTCCCCAGGCCCGAGCGTCCGCCAAAACAAAAAACAGGAAAGGAAAAACCAGTCATGTTAACGAAGCCACGGCGCGGTGCCTGCAAAAACCACAGGTGGCTCCGTGGTGCTTGGGTGGCTTTTCTCGATGATACTCCGGGACTTTCTGCTCATGGCAAACTTTGCACACCACAGCAAGCGAAAACTGCTTCCCCGTCAGATTTCCGCTGGCCATTTTTCCGCTGCGCACAGGCTTTGGTGCCGGTGTCCACACAAACTCCGCCACGGACGTGCCCTTGGAAGGAGTCGTCATCTCCTGGCGCAAGCGCTTGGTTGCTTGTTCCTTGCTCCTTGCTTGCTTGCTTGCTTGGTTGCTTGCTTGGTTGCTTCGTTGCTTGGTTGCTTGGTTGCCTGGTTGCCTGGTTGCCTGGCTGCTTGCTTCCTTGGTTGCTGTCTTGCTTGGTTGGTTGCTAGGTTTCTTGGGGTTAGTTGGCTCGCTGCTTGCTGGCTTGCCTCCTTGCTTGCTTGCTGAGCGGTGACGCAATCCTGCCTCCTGAGCAGTTGACGGCGCTTCTCCAGGCTGACTTGCTTCGCAAACCGCGCCCAAGGACGAAGTTGGAGATGCATCTGCCACACAAACTTGCCTGGCCAAACCACCCTGAAGTTCAGACCCAAGCCCCAATGGATGGTGAGTTTTCGCCAAACTACCGGTTGTCAAAAACGAACCTCTAATTGGGTTATAGGCAGGTATCTCTGTCGGTGGCTCCGAGGAAGAAGGCGAAGGCTGCATCTCTGCTGGAATTTCCGAAGCAGGCGGCGAAGCCTCGAAAACCTCGAAGGGGTTTGTGTCGGGAAGAGGCGTGGCAGCCGAAGGGTTTGCTGGTGCTTGTTGGTTGCCCTTCATGCGAGCCGGCTCCCCCCCGGCTATAGCCCGCGCCAGCATTGCCCGGACTTAAAGGTCCAGCGCGTGCGGCGGTGGCTCCACATTCCAGGCAACACACGCCTCTTGCAAGGCCAATGCGCTCATCCGAGTGATGGCGCTGGCCGTGTGATGCTTTTTCGGTGCCATGGCACCAAACTAAACACAAACTCCCTGGAATGGCTAGCACACACAAAAAAGAATGCCCTGACTGGCTTGCAAGAAGACGGGGTTGACCCTTAACATTGACAAACCGTTCCAAAAACACATGTGTCAACAGGACCACTGCCCAATTCCATCCAAAACTGGGGGAGCCAATAACCTGCCAAATCACCTGACAATCTGAATCAATACTCTAAACTGGACATGAACTAGGCAAGGTCTGGAACGGAGGTCTGGAACGGAGGTCTGGAACATGTTTCTAGGCAAGGTCTGGAACGGAGGTCTGGAACGGAGGTCTGGATCGCATGTGGGTTCCGGACCCTGTTCCGGACCTTATAAATTGACTCGCAGCCATATGGCTGTGGCTCAAAAAACGGTTCGGTACCACAATGGAACCCTGGTAGGTGAAAACATGGACCAAAGCCCGCGTACCCCCTCCTGTTTAATTTTGAGCCACCCCCATACAAGCCAACATCATGTCACCGAGTCGGGTAGCAGGAGGCCGGGGTTGGTCTCGAAGCATGAATCCTCACATTTCAGCTAGGGTCTTTCAATATGGCTTTTTGTATCTGTCTTCTGTGTTCATGGTGTTGATCGTCAATCGCTCTTGTCAAGGACATATGAGATTCTGACCTTGGTGGCTCTGTGTTTTCAATCTTTCCCTTAAAAGCGTCGGTTGTGAGGGTAGGTCAGCTGATTGTCACGGTTGATCTTGTAAATGTTGCAAGTCGGGTCGGGAACAACAATAATCTAGCATGCATTGGGGTTGCTTGATTTTTCTCGGGAATCAACAGTAAGATGCCTTATTTTGTTGCTACCGAACAACAGGAGGAGGGTGGGAGTGGAGGGAGTGGAGGGAGCGGGTGGGAGCGGGACGGAGCGGGAGGGAGAGGGAGAGGGAGAGGGGGAGGGGGAGGGGGAGGGGGAGGGAGAGGGAGAGGGAGAGGGAGAGGGTCCAAGGAACATTGAGAAATTTCATACGAAACTTAGAGAATGCCGGGCAGAGCTCAGTTGTACCCTTTCTTGGGACTAACATTTGCTCAAAGAACAACCGGCATGATCTCAATTTGGACAATTGGGTTTGTTAGTGAATTAATCAGTTTGAGGGGCTCCTAGCTGTGACGCATTGATAGCCCAAGGGTCATGACCCCCACAAGGCCGAATCCCCCACGTAGTCGGAGGTGAAGGTCTTTTCCTTCCAGTTCGTGGCCTACCCTGAGGGTCCTTACGCGATTGGTTTCTGGTCCCACACCTGACTTTGCGCAGATGGAGTCTGAGAACCGATGTTGAGGGCAACTCAAATTTATGAGAGGTTATGGATGTGGAGGTCAGCACCAATTTGCAACTGACAAGGAGACTTTCGAACTCCTGCTGTTCCCTTGCTCCTGTTTGGGCTGGTGTGGTCAAAACCTAGCTTTCTAACTCTGGAGTGCTTCATCGCTTGATTTGCCGAGTTGTGGCTGGTGGTTTAAAGGAAACGCTTCAACTTGAGGATGGCTCTTCGCTTGGGCTAGGTGCCCAAGAGCGACGAACCAAAAACCAGTGAAACTGGTCAAAAGGACATTTAATTTACCACAAAATCACTTTTTCCTAAAACTTATCATATATTCAACGGATAGGAATTGCTCTTAACACTCTATCAACTATGATTGGGGCCACCCCTCTCCACGTTTCTCACCAGGACTTGCTTCCTGCAGAAAGCTTCTTGCTCAATGCCACGCACTTGCTGGTCTACACGGTTTCCTCCCTGGTGGAGCAAACCACCCCCGAGCCCCAGATTGTATGAGAGGGAGGGCAGGCAGCCAATTTGTGGGAGCCCAGATGTATAAACCCTGGCTGATAGGTGGGTGTCCCATAGAGAGAACCCTTCACTGTTGGGAGGGGGAACACACACACACACACCACACACACACACACCACACACACACAGACACAGACACAGACACCTAGTTGCAGCTTGGTTGGAACCCAGCCAAGTTAAGATTTGAAGGAGAAATTCGTAGGGGTCTCCGAAAGTCTGAGGAGACTGTGGGGCCATCCTCCTAGCAACTTCTAACATTTCTTCAGAACTTTTTGCTGCGGGGGAGGGGTTCTGCAGAACTTTTGCTTGGGGGGGGGGGCGGCGGCTTTGCCGTTAAGGACTCCTACGTCTTCTACGACATGAGTGCCAGCGCGTCCCAGGCTCGGTTTCCTAAGATGGTAGTGGAGCACTGGAGGGAGGCCAATGAGCAATATCCGCACGTGCCATGATCAGAAGAACACCTACTTTTTCTAGGCCAAGGATAACCAATGGACAGCCAGGTTATTCGAAACCAGCTTTTAAAACGCGCGTTTGCTTGCGGGCCCATGGACCCTTTATTTAGCCCCAATGCAAGGATTTCCGTTACCATGGCTTGCATGAGCACTTGGGGGTGGACACAAGGATTGACCACTCCCTTTCTAATTCCTTGAAGGCAGCACAATGAGTTCCTCTAAAAGAGGCTCCGAGCACATGGAAGGTGGTCGGCGGTTCAGGCCCCTTTTGAATCCGGTTGTCAAAAAATGATACTCCGTGAATCGTGCTTTGGCTACAACATTGAATTCAGGAAGGACTCGAAATCGGAAAGGCTTCTTTTGAGGGCTTGACAACTGCGGACTTCTTCTTTAAGTTTTTTTTTGCAGTTAACATTCCTAAAGCAGTGGTCGTTTTTAGAGGACTTTCCTTTTGGGGCAAGGACCCCCTTGTGTAGCTTCAAACTCTTTTCTTGCAGGGGAGTATGAGAAGGTGTCACTTCCAACGCTTTGGTGTCATCCACTCTAACCTTTTGGTGCTTTCCTTGTCTACTTTTGGTCATGGAGAGTGCACCGGGGTTAAGATAGGGACAAATTCCTTTTGGTGGGTCAGGGGAGACACCCATAGGGGAACTGTGCCATCTACTTTAACCGGGGTTGGGCAGCATTTGTCCACTGGTGCAGCTAAAGGAAAACCAAGAGGCAGTTGTTTGAACAATAGAGGTTTAAGCCACGGCTCAAGCAACGGGTTGGCCGAACTCTGTGTATTTCATATTCAGGAATAAAAGCAGTTGGTGTCCCTTTTGGGTTTGATTGAAACCACTCAACTTCGCCTCTTGCGCGAGGTCCAGTTCGTGGATAAGGACACGGACTTTGGCCAGGTTGGCGGAGTGGCGCGGGGCCCGGGCCGAGTCAAGCATCGGGCGTTTGGCGTTTCATGGTGGGGTTCCGTCATGGTATGTTTTCCTTGCTTTGAACAAACGCAACTCAGCTGGTCAGCCCAAAGGTGATTCTGGATTCGTCTTGGATGCCGACCTCGTCCCAGAGATTCAGTCAAAGTCCCACTCTGGCCTGGTCTCCGTACCAATGTCACGGGAAGCAACTTTGCAGACGCGGTTCACCCACTTTTAAACATCCTTATGTTGGTTGCGCTTGTTTGTCAGAAGGCTGCTTGATTCTGACGCCATCGATCTGGGCAACTGATTCTTGGCCCCTTTCTCTCTTTAAACATGAGCCCAGTCAACCGCAGGTATTCTTGGTTCCGCTACTTTCCGGTTGTGTGCAGGTCGCGATTGGCTTACTTTTGGACCCCCTGTACAACTGGTCCAAAAAATCAAACATGTGCGTAGTTTGATATCTTCCCATAGTTTCAATTCACAAATGTCAACGTTTGGCTCCACGCCCAGACTTGTTGCCTTCCGGCTTAAAGTGGACCATCGGAAAATGATTGATCTGTGCAATAAATGATAACTTGCCAGCCTCAAATAAGACATGGACGCACAATAGAGGAATCTGCGTCACAGGCGGAGTGCCCGAAGAGCTCTTGGCATAGACTTCCTGATTTGAAGCTGGACCTTAGTCAAAGGTTTCACCGCCAGACCACTGGACCATACCTTTGCAGGATAATTGTTTCCGAAGCAGAAGCGAATGAGGGGGCGGTTTGAAAGCCACCTTCAGACAGGGCTGAGAGTTTGTTCAAACAACTGCTTGCGCCTTTCAAAGGATCCTAGCATGTTGCTTCAACGATAGTTTTGGCGAACTACGCCGACCTCACAACAGGAGGTTGCAAATTCGCCCAGGCTGAAGTGTATTCGGATGCCAATGATGAATACTCACCCAGATGGGGGTGGGATCACCGCGCATTGGATTCGACACCGACAAATTGTTGGCCGCGTAAACGCGTTTACGCGGCGCAACCCTGCCTCCAATCCAAGGTAGAGTGGCTGCCACCCAGCGACACCTCGCGAGTGGAGGTATATGTGGCTCGGCGAGAAACGGGCTATCACGATGGAACTCCGACCTGGGCGGTTTCCCTATGGCTCCGTTTAACAAGACGCCAAGGATGGGGTTTCCTAAAGAAAAGCACAAACTGAACGATGACACTGATATATCGGTTGATCGCAAGGGTGCCCTTTCCCAGTCTCCCATGGGGACAAGAGCGGGAACTTGTCCCCTGTTTGTTGGTGGGTTGATGTTCAAAGAAAGACCCACCGCCGCAAAATCCTTATTCCGAATTCCAAGCTTTTCCCTGAGTTCGCGCCACGCTTGGGTGGGAAGTAGAAGGGGGCGCGAGTCTACTAGACTTAAGGTGCCCAAGTTGCCAATCGCCGATCGCCACCTTTTCAATGGCTTGACAATGATTGTGTGACCACGGGTAAAGGGAATCCAAACCAGCCTGTCACAAACCGATCGATTATTTCTTGAATATTGTACTCTGTGGTTGCGAACATGTTAAGGGTTTAGCCATTCACCGGCAAATAACCAGCGAATCACTGTTGGTTCTAGTACATGTTGGTCTGTTCGACCACTCACGATTGCTGTGAACATTGTTTGTGTTGTCACTCATCAGCCAAACAATGGACGCATTCCGAGTCAAATATTGATTCCCTTATTCGGATCCCGGGTCATCGCAAGGTGACCTACTTCGCTCAAGACACCTCCGGCCTTGGCAAGTCCCTGATCGGAGCTGGGGCCCTGGGGACTTTGAACTGTTGCGGGGGTCGCGTGAATGCGCCTTGTGTTGGGGGAACCCCCTTTTGGTTCGAGGGAAGGCGAAGGGAATCCACAATTTTCGGGGTTTTAGTTTAGTGGTAACTGCGGCAACCACACCATGTTGAAGACGGAAGCACTCCGTGGTTTTTGTTCAGAGGACATCAATCTGCCAGGATTTGCCCGGTAGAAGAAATACTCAAGCCCAGAAGATGGTGCTTCTCTGCCCGCGGAAGGATCGAACAAAAGGCGATTTCAATGGATTCCTAGCAGATTACACTCACGTAAGCTCTTGGAAGTTGTGCCTGGTTTCTTTGCCATTCTTTGCCCCCTCCATAAGTTGTTTGGCCTTGGCCTGTTTTGAAAGCACCCGGACGGCGTTTGTGTAAGAATGTCCTTATCGTAGTCAATTATCATCAATGCGTTTGCCCTCGCTCGATTGAAAGCAACGGCTTGGGTTTACCTCGACCTGCGCCCACCGAACTCCTCGATCTCCCAAAAGTATGGCTGTTGAATCCCACAATCCAAGGTTGGCGTTCGGATGCAATCAAGAAAGGGGTGTGCCCACTCCTTTCTCAGCCGCTGGTCTCACAACCATTTCTGCTTTTTGATTTTCCCCCGGACCCACGCGCCTTTTTGTGGGCAACCCTCAACAAACTCACAGGGGCCCAGCTCGAGCCTTTTTGGGGGTCTACGTGATACTTTGCCAAATAAACGGAAAAGAGCATGAGTTTTCGCTCGGTGGAGTGCCAAATGTTGTTCCCGTTGGCAGGAGCCCCACCACCCTCAGGTCAATTCATATAGAGAACATGTGCTTTGCAAAAGGAGTTTGCATAGAATATCTATATGATACATATATTTGTATGTGCAAGCATATATATATATATGTACAGTCTATACATACACAAATTATGTACTTGCAATAGTATGCATGGCTACCGTTGTTTGTCCCGGAATATGTTTCAATATCCGACCTCCCTCCAGAGCCGCCCTCAGGAAGACCAGGTGAACTCTACCGTGTTGGCGGACACCCAACTGGGCCTCAACACCCAGGCGGGAGTGCAATTGCTCGCTTTGGCCCCAAACAAAGGCCAAGTTGCAGGGCCCGGGCCGGATTTTGTTTGTGATTTTGGGTTTGGTTGTCGGTTGGAACAAGTTTGTTCAGTCGCTTCAGCTGCCGGAGTTTTGTCAAGTCTTTAGTTGCCATGTTTTGTTCAGTTTGGTTCAGTTTGTGTTGATTTGTGCAGTTTCTTTCGTTCAAATTGTTCATTCAAGTCCAAATGCATACCAGTTTCAAGGTCCCGCGGGTGATGCAGCTTGGCAAACTAGTCACAGAGACTTATAGTCACTATCCGTGGCAGTGGCATTCAAAAGTACATATTTAGGGGTGTGAGTGCCGCCTGGCCACGAAGGACGTTTCCGGGCCATGACCTTCCTATGGCAAAGCCCCTTGCCAAGCTCACACTCAAGCTCCGCACCGAGGTTTGGTGAATCCTTTCTAGCTCACTCAATTTTCCAACAAAGTGACATAGTGAGTCCACTTTAGGACGTATAAGCAGAAGAGCATTGTTGCGTTTTAGAGGCATGCCGCGCTTTCGACCAATAAACACGTCTTGCAAAATGACTTCCCCGTTTCAACACCCCTTCTCGCCAAAGCGCGCGTCTCGCCCAAGCACGAGTCTCGCTCAAGGACTAGCATGTTTAAACCGCATGCCCTTGAATGCCCGCCCAAATGGTTGGGGGTTACATGAATCCCTCATTTTTGCGGATGTCCACAAAGGATGCCCAAGTCAAGTGAAGATCATAATTACTGGGGTCCCTCTAGTATCTCACAAGATGTCCACTACCCGCGAACTACCAACCCCACAGGCAAATGGGGTATGCTCTTTTCACAGCATGATGTAAATAACCCCTGACTACAAAAGCTTGCATTTACATAGACAACTGCGTCTTGTTGTTCTTGTTCGCCACATACCTTTAAAACAACAAATACGTGCTTTCCAATCGTTGGCATACCCGGCCAAGGTGCTGGTCTATACCCGCTCCTCGCTGGTGGAGCAAACTACCCCGGCCTTTGCGCAGGTGGCTGACTCGAAACGGGGCCGAGCGCGTACACAAGCCACGTTCAGTGAACCTACTCCAAAGGGAAGATGTGCAAGACCTGGGCTTGCATGGTGAACACCTCCTTTTGTAGTCAGCGGTTAATATTTAACCTATGACCAAAACATGTGGTTGCTAGTTTGGAAAGCCTGTCTCAAACATGTCCATCCTGCTTCTAACTAAACCAGTGGGGGGTCCTTTTCCTATACGACACAACCATTTCGGCAACCGCTTGTTTCTTGAGGTTACCATGTCAGTGCTGGCATCAAGGGAAGTCAAAAGAACACTCAAGTATCTGGAAGCCCTCCATTTTTGTTTTTGAGCATTGAATTCAACAGGACCCGAGCCCGCTGGGAGGGTGTCATATTCTCTGAGACAGACCCCAACCGGTAGCATTTCATGCTGCATCAGGAAGCCCTCGTAAACTTTGTCGGTAAAGTATCAACCATGGCCCGTTTGAGATTATCACGTCCCACGCAAAGCACTTGGAGCCAAACGAGGATTTGTCCAGTCAAGTGCGCAGCGCGCAATATTTCAGATAGCCTTTAGTTGGTGGTTTGGATTGGCCCCCGGGGAAATGGGGCCTCCCTCGCAACGCCTCCAAACCACCGGGCTCCGCACCACGCGAGGGAATCTGATTTCAGGTCGGTTTCAAGGGACACGAAAAGGACCACCATTTTGGGGCCCAAACCAACATCTCCAGCGGGCCATGAGGGTTTTCCGGAGGTGAGCGACACCGCGTCGGCGGTGCCTTACCTCCACTTTACCGACCAAGACCTGGACGTGCAGCAGATTGGCGCGCGCGGGGGGGGGGGGGTCGTGTGGGTGCGGGGCTTCTGGCTCAGAAGAGTTGCTGAATTACCTCATTTTTGTTCGGGGTTGTTGGCATGGCATGACCTTTCTAAGAGTGGTAGTACATGCTGCCCTTTGCTTAATGCCCTTTTAGATTTTGTTACAGGGAAGCAAAAAGGAAACTCATCTGAGTCTATCATACACCTTCTGGACGAGGATACAAAGCCTTTTGGAGTCATTGACCCAAGGGTGTGTTGAAAGGGTTGTGAACACAGCTCCTCAAACACGCCCACAAGCTTGCCGCTTTTTGGAGCTTTGGAATGATGGGGGCGTGGGAATTGAACCAGGGAGACCCTAAGTTGTTTTGTAGGCCGCGCCAATCACCAGCAATATCGGTGATCATAAGTTTGTGCTTTAGGGTACCCTTTGCAGTTTGGAAACCGAGAGGCATCCAAAGCCAACCTTTTGACATTGATTTCCCCTTTTTTAGCCAGGGTCCCAAAAAGTTCACCTCTTATGTCCTAGTCCTTTCGGCTGGTTTTTGTCCATCAAAATTTGGCTGTTCCGTTCCTCGAAAAACTGGCTTTGAGCTTCCGACCTCTTTTTGAGGGTGTTTCATATCCAATATTACTAGTATGCGGAACGGCAATACTCACGGGCGCGAATTCGCGGATTCCCCAATTGCAGGCGGGATCCTCACGTGGCAAGCCCCCGAGGACGGGACAAGCGAGCGAGCGATCACATAGCGAGGCCGACACCGATTTACATGTACTGTGGATTTGCTTGATCTCAATGATCTCATTCGTGTTTGTTTGTCTTTGTCCTTGGATCTACAGGCTTCCCTTTATTCCTCTGTTTCGTGGGCTTCCAATATCACCATCGTGCCAATTTCAGAATGACGTGTTTTATGGTGGGGTGATGTTCAAAGCAGACATCTGGTAACCCTGATCTAGGGTGCCAATCTCTGGTTTCCCTTTAGTATGCTTGTGCCAATTTGGAAAACACCAATTTCTTTGCTGACAAGCAAGTCAACAACCTGAACCTGCAGGCAATTCGTTAGTTTATGTATGGTTTATCCCGAACCATTTCCCTTTGGAACCGCCTGCTTCCCCACTGAACATGATTTGTTCGCCATCATGGCCTACCCAGAACATGATTAGCTTTTTGAGAATCCTCATGTCTTTCCCCCAGAGAAAGAGAAAGATAACTATATATATATAAATATAGAGGTAGATGGATAGATAGATAATTGGATGGATGGATAGATAGATACCGAGAGAGAAAGAGAAAAGAGAGAGAGAGAGAGAGAGAGAGAGAGAGAGAGAGAGAGAGATAGAGAGAGAGAGAGAGAGATCACTTGCGCTCTTCCAAAAGAGGACAACGGCACCATTACTCACTACACGCTCTACGCCGCGGAGGATGAGCTCGGCGCCAACAGGAGGGATGGATTGCTTCGGGAGAAGCCTTGCATGAATTCGGCTTTCCGCACAAGAAAGCTTAGGGTTCTTTGGGTTCCCTAGGAATTCCAGTGCTACTTCCTTTTACTTTTGGCTGGAGCGAGAATCAGCCAGGAGGGCGTATGATTCAGAGAGCCCAGCTACAGAAAGTTCGCCAGGATCTGAGCCCAAACTCCTGTATTCAGTGGGTATTTGGATAGTTGCCAGCTGGTCACATTTCGTCCAGCTGGCTTCTGTGATTCTGTGATTCAAGACATGGTCAATGCTGAATTCGCGAGGACCCAGATAGCGGAGCTCCCGTTCGGGGCGACCGACGTGACCTTGCCGACTCTCGGTTAAGTTACGACTCGCGGAAAGCATGCGGGCAGACGTCAAAAGCTCTAGCACCTGGGGTGCCTTCTGAGCCCTATATATTCAAATATGTGGATAGGGACCACTCCACAAGCTATCGCAGCTCCGAGGGAATCAGCATGTACTTGAAAAAAACCCAAGATACAGTTGCGCCGCACTCAACACCTGGGCAGCTGAAAGTCAAAGGGTTACAGTCCCAGCCACAAGAATGCGTGGCTGCCCTGTTGACTGTCTTCCTGAACTTGGCTAGACTTTTAAATCCCAGGATAATTAACCTTTTGACCCTCATTTACAAAGAGGGAACTGCTTTATGTGTCTATGAGTGCTTCGGAACCCACAAAGAAATTAATTCCAACTTGATTTCCCAGATGATCAAAGGCAACCCCATACACTTCCATGAGATTGAGTCTTTTGGTAGGGGCGCCTTAGACGAATAGACAGCAAACCTGTTGAGATGTCTTCGACCCATTCAATGCCCACGAGATCAAATCGACAAGCTTCGGACGCAAGGCCCTTTATCTTTACGGTGGCACCCAACTTGTGGAAACTGGAGCTTTCGGGCCACCTGTGATACCCTTAGGGAATGCTGCTTGATATTTTGAAGGGGACCGTTTTCGGGGTGGTTCAAAAACACCTTTTGGAAAGGCCAACAGAAACTGAGTTTCTCTTTGCAGGCGATGTTTTTAGGTTGGACATGGCTGTGCGTGTCAAGGCTAGGACCTCTCCGCAGGGCTTGATAGATGTTTGAGGGAAAACTGGTCGAGGTTCCGTTTGAGCCATAATTTAAGTTTGGAAAAGGGAAGGTTGGTAGTGGCCCATCCCAAACACAATTTGGTGCGACCACCCTTTTGATTCTTTACATGGTGTTGGGTCGACCCCTTCAATTGCCTTCAATGCAAGGTTTTCATTCCGACTCGAGGTCGGACTTCGATCTTGAGAACTACACGCACCTTCTCATCTACACCAAGACGGACGTGAGCGAGCAGACGGTGCCGACCTCGCACCTCATCTTCGACGAGACGGCCCGGTTACCCGGAGAGTTGCAGAGACCTTTTGGAACTCGCTCTTGTTCAAAGGTTGTTTCGGAAATCTGGTGCTCACAGGTGAGTACCTTTTTGAGTTGGTCCGAGGTTCACATCATTCCGCAAGAACAGTTCGGGTCAACCCGCGTGTTTCACTTGTTTGTGTGTGTGTTTTGTCGCGGGGCTTGTCAAAGTGACAGATCTACAGGAGCCATGAACACATCAGAATGCCCTTTCTTATGCTTTCTTGACTGTGGAAAATGACAGATTCCCCATTAACCAGAGCGCAAAATTGTTGCAAGGTCGAAGACCAACCCAGTGCTGGTTTAACATATCTTCTGTTATTGCTTAGTTGAGGAGTCCTTTTCTGCGGCAATTACTTTACAGGAGGCACCCGGGCAATTCGCAACCGGCGGGATTTTGGTCTGAACGTTGCCCAGTGGGCACTACTCTTTTCTTCCCTCCAAAATCAGCCACCAGAAACGGGCGGTTTCCTTTTGTCCCATGGCCGGGTATGCATTCGTCCCAAGCAGGTTCTGCAAAAGGGCAAGGTTTCCTGAACAACATGTACAGCATTCAAATATTTACCTCCGGTATAAGCAAACACCGGAAAAATAAGGAATTTATAAAATATTTGCATAGTTAGACCCGAGGTTCGGACTTAAACTTCCTGTTTTCAACTCGGTCACTTTGAGAATCGGGACCAGAAGCGGGACGCGCAAATTCCGCACAAAACACGGGGAAGGCTCTCGATCTTTCCCGTGATTCACTAGCCGCTACTCAAGACAACCGCGTCTTTGTGTATACATCCCAACCTCTGACTCAAAAAGGGAGGTGTTTGCCAGCTGAAAGCAAAACCACAACAGCTTTTCTAGCAGCTACCCTGAAGCAAGGCAGGTATTGGAGATTCAATCACTCACTGAGTTTCTGGACTTTAAACTCTTTGGGCAGACCGTTGCAATCGTACACAGAGTTTGGATCCTTTTCGGCAATCTGCCTCATGTGAGTTGCGGCATGTGCCATGCGCCCTGCCAGGCCCTCGTCAGCGAGGTGCACATGGCGGACAAAGACTTGGACGCCTTAGAGCTCGGGGGCACTATCACATGGCCGGCCGCGGGTCGACTTGATGCCAGTGATGTGTGTTTGAGGCAGTGCCCTTACAGGGAAGCCAGAAGAAGCATCTCTATTTTGGGGGTCGCCCCATTTTGAAGCCCATGCAATCCCATTTGGACCTTGGCGCAAGTCGTGTGGGTTTGCTTCTTCCACAGCAGCTGAAAGCTTTGGGGTCTCTGCCCAAATAAGCGCCAGGCTGATTTGGGAGCAGTTTTCAGGAGAGTTCCGGAAGATTCCAAAAAGTTCCGGGGCTGTTAGGAATATCATCCGGGATTGACAAGCTAAAAGGCAAGCCAGCATTTTACGTGTCCACATGTCCTAATCTTGACGATTTATGCCTTGGATGTTCATTCGCATTGAATCCCATGTGGTGACCGGGAATCGGTGATTTGGTTGGAGGAACCCAAGTAGCGGTGTACGTACTTTTTGAGGGTTCCCTTTTTTGGGTAGAATCAAAAGTAGCCCCACAGAGAAAAAAGGACATGTTTTTCGGCGTCCACCTATTTGACACACAAGTAATTACTTGAACCCCATGAAATTGAGTTTTGGGCCCCAACTTGACGTGCCATGTACGTATGTTGTTGTTCCGCGGTACATTACCATTGCAGTACTAGTATTTGTCAAGCACTGTTTTCCCGTTAAGCACCTACGTAACAAGGATTCCTGTTGCATGTCTGCCGCATCCTCAAAAAGTAAGAGCCCTTTGCGTTTGCAACATGAGATCTGTAATCCCAAGAAGCTTTGCCCTGGAGGGTCAACTTACCTTGGATGACGTGGTGTCTTGGGGCGTGGAGTCCGGAGGTCGCCTGCAACCAATGTGCTGGTGACGGGGTACTACGTTTACCTGGCGGAGACGGCGGCAGGCGTCGGTGGTGGTCGCCCGAACCTGGCTCCTGGTGTTAAACGGGATGGTGGGGGTGCCCAAGTTTGTCTTGACAATTCACTCAGATGCCCAAAGCAGATGATTTCACATGTTGCTCAATTGTTGTCATGGTCCCACAAAGGGATCGCCATTCTGGGCGCGTGACTCGTTCCACCTGTGTGAATTCATTTGGGGGTAAGGCGACCTGTGGGCCCCGCAAAAGCTTTGATGGCGGTCATGATCCTCCACCTAGATCCAATGTCTTACAAACCACATGCGGCAAGGGAAGCCACAGGAAGGTCAACGGCTTGCTACTTTTATTTGTGTTTGTGGTCTTCAGAGGCCTTCTATTGCAGTTGGGTGAAAGTGGGCAGCATAAGTTCCTTGCAGGTCCCCCATGTCCCTGTTATCACCCGGTTGCAAACAGGAAGGGGATTGTGCCATCTACTTTCCCCCTGGTGTACTGACCCTTGCCAGTCACTGAAAGTCACTCTTGGGCCGCTGCCGCTCCGGCGTTAGTTGTGCGGCTGGAACCGCTCTGTGGGCATGTTTACGCTGCTGGAGGTCTTGCCCTCTGCGAAAAGATCACTCAACAAGCCGGAGATGTTTCTTTGGGAAGACCGGGTGGCCATGTGTCAATTGTTTGGTCCTGCCAATGTTTTCTTTTGAAGCCACCTCACCGTGAGTCCTTGTATAGTTTTCGTGTATTACTTATTACGACATACCAAGATATGTTTGACTACTTCAACTATAGATAATGTAGATACACTACAGGTGGTATAGAAAGACTAGTTGAACATTTTGGAATTATTTGGGTCAGCATGATCAAGAAATCATTACATATTTGGGATCAGGCTTTATGATATGTCATACTGGACATATTCTGACAAATTGTCGCGGAAGTTCAAGTCTGGCAAAGACTGTTGCAACATATATGTTGTCGCATTTACGATTCAACAATATTGCTCTTTTAAAGAAGTCACAAGAAGACTGCGAGTATATAAAGCATGTTTGCTGCAGTTCTATCGAAAGCAACATTGTTCAGGCAAGCTTATTGATCCGGGGTTGAACCAGCTCCGGGCTTATGAGCAAGGTTGCTTACGATTTCCTAGATTCGGGTTGATGAACTATAGCAATGAGTGCAGACTACTCACTTCCACTGTGTGAGAAGTTGGGCATAGGCCCTGTTCCTTTTGTACTCTGGATCGCGTGACTTTGGTTTGCTTGGTTTCAGACTGTTTGGTTATGAAATGTCGTCACCTCGCGCAGTCTCTACAATATGTTGGAGTTGATTTGCCGAACCTGCTTATAGTTTCAGCCTTTTCGTGAAAGCCGTGGCACGACAAATAGACACCTGGGGTTGTGGCATGAAAAGAGCTTAAAGGTGAGGCAGGTTCAATCCTCATCAAAGGTGTATCCACGATCTAGCGTTGATCTATATTAAGTGATTCCAAAAGGTGATCTGTCATTTCCAGAAGGCTTGTGCATCCAAAGCTGCAAATGAAGGTCCAACAGATGATCGCCTTGTATTTCCAAGTCTTGTTGCAAGTTGCTTTTCCCTGGCCTCGTCGGTCCTCGAACTTGGGCTCCAGGCGACGGCAGAGTCGGGGTTAACGGCTTTGTACCAGCCGGGGCCTCAAGCGCACCAAGCGCAGAACCTGCTAACTAACCTGCTAACTAACTTGCTAACTAGCCTGATTTGGGTTAGTCCGGAAACGGCAAGCTGGGTTCTGGGCTTGAGGAACAAATCATTAAACGTTGAAATGTCAAAGAAAGCCACTATAGGTTGTTTTTGACCCAGACTTCTTCTATTTGCGGGGCCAGCGCAAGTTTACGCGGATGCAACTCCTTGAAAATTCAACATGGCAAATAGCAGAGGGTGTTCTGGTGTGGTTATTGATCCTTCCCCCGCCCAAATGACAAGAAATTGGCAACAGAAATGGCAACGAAGGATTATTTGCCAGGGTTTTGGTGTGTTTGGTTTTTCAGTTACCGTGGAGGTTTGGGGGTTGGGGTTGCTCTGGAGCACAAAGAGCACGCGTGCTTCCGGCCACTTTTTGGGTAGAGCGTATGGTTTGCCAGCAAGGCGCACGCTCAATTTGTTCGCCAGAAGCAGCAGGGCAGAAGAGGTTGTTTGAAAACATGTATTTTGCTTTGGGTTCCACGATTCTGTGTTCATGATACCGTCGGGGTGTTGGCCCAAAAGTTTGGGCTGACGATCTTTTGCAAGGGCCGAAGATGAGGTTTTCGGCAGTTTAAGTTACCCGCCGAGTTTTGGGGTTTGGTGTTAGGATTGAGACTGTTGCCACGTTCGTTGCGTTGCTAGTAGGCATCGCCCAAGTCAATCAACAGACCTCGCGGCCAGAGCTTGCGCCGCAGAATACGCCAGGATCTTTCCCGGTTGGAGTTGGCCAGCTTGCACAAACGCCCAGAGTGGGAGAGTTTTCGGCACCCTGTGCGCATGGGAAACACACATTGTTTGGCCGAGAGGGTTCAAACTGGAGGTGGAGAAGCATATAGTTTCCATATATCACTGCTAGATTCCACCTTGCCTTTTCCGGGCGACCCCGAAATTGGTGACCCCCTCCCCATCAGGACACATTCTAACTTGGTGTTTCCCTTTTTTCATGTCTAAGATCATTTAGAAGAGAATCTCGGTCTTACAGTTCCTTTTTCTGTCGGGAAGTGAGATGGTCAAGCCAAAATGGGCTGAGGGTTTTTTTTTGCATCTACTTTCACGCGGCGCAATTGCTTTTTTCTAACATATGCCCTCAGCTTATAGGCGTTCCGTGATTGGTTCTTATTTTCTGGCGGGTGCGTTATCTCCATCTACTCACTTGTCTGAGCGTACTATTTACCAAGCCCAGCTTCAAGGTCACCCAACTGCAAGGATGGCAGCAAAACCCCCAGTATACAACATGTTTGCTTTCATCAGCGTTGATTCCGGGTTCCTGTTGGTTCCTGTTGGTGCCTGTTGGTTTCTATTTGAATTTGGGTAGGTGGGCACCAACTTGGTGCATTTGGCCCCGGACGCGGCTTTGAACTTCTCGCGCTTCGCCGTGGTCTTCTGCGCCTCCGCGCTGGCGGAGCAAACGACCCCCAGCGCGTTTGTGCTGCGCCTCGGACCCCTTGGTTCCCAAAAATGCGCAGGCCTCACGGTCCCTTCTGTCCCAAAAAAGAGGGTCTCTCTTTCTTGATGTTTTGTCCTTTTTACGGACAAAAAAAGGGAAGCCATGTTTTCAGGGGGTGCCTTATGCTAAGACTTTTTGAGTCAGAGTCTGTGTTCTTGTGCTTCTTTGGTGGGTTTCCCAACAAGAATCAAGATATGCATGATGATGGTTTGATTGTTGGTTGACTGAGTCAATATCAACAAATCTAGATTTGTGGGAAAACAGGTCAGATGTGGCACAGATGCGATACACCGGACAATCCCAGAGTTACCACCCCCTAGTGCGTGGGGATTTTCACCCTGAACATTGATTGGCACTGGCTGATGTTTACACAAATACAGGCAGTCAATATTTCCTTGGTCAGCTTGATCTAAAAGCGTGCTTTCAGGTCAGTTTTCAGATTGGGGGTTCTTGAGGGGGGTCTCTTGAGAGTTTGGCAGCAACAAGAGGAGCTGAAGAGGCAGAAGTTTTCGTTCGGATGGGTTGTGCCGAGTTTTTTTTTGTACTGGAGTGGGTGCCTTGGAGACAGTTTCCAGTTTACATCTTTGAGTGGGTTTCCCTTGCAACGTCCAAACCAAGAAAATAAGCCTCGGCAAACCAACAAAACAGAAGAGTCGTTTGGGGAGGGGGCGCGTTTCCATTTGTAATGGGTAGGTGGTGTCCCTTGACAGTCAACCACCACAAACAAAGGCATCAAGTCGTTTTCCTCACAAATCTACGCGGCAGGTGGGTAGGGGAATGTTTCCTTAAAAGTCGAATCAAGCTCCCAGGTTTCTATATTAACCCAAGATCCCAGGATTGATTGGATGTTTTCTCCTATTGCCATTCCGAGTGGGTTTCCCCTCAATGCCACACAATGAAAAGAAGCAGACAAGTTGTTTGGAGGTTAGATCCTAGCTTCCTTTTTGCCGATTGGGGGCCGGGGAGTAGGCTTTCCCACACACAGATGCAGCCGGGAGTGAGCCACTCAGGAGCGACTCCGCGGCGCAAGTGCTGAGCATCAACTTCACGGACCGGGCGTGTTTGTTTGGCGCCGGCTGGCCGGCCGGGTTTGTTTAGATCCTCCGGTCTGCTTTCAACTAGTTTTGATTCGGCATGATTGTTCACTACGTATTGACCAGAATCAACAATGTTCTTGCTCGGGAGCCAAAGTTGAGGCTCCTGGCATAAAAGAGGCGGCCCCATGGAGGTCTTTGGTCCCCCTCAGGGTTGGGAACTGCGGCCAGAGCTTATGACGCTTGAGCTCCCTATCTTTGTCCGCTTGCAAACATGGCCTGCTGAGCCAAGTGCCCTAGTGACCCTCTTGTAATGTGGGAGCCCTGTGATTTGAACTAGAGACAACCAACCATATGGAGTTGTTGGCCAAACAAACCAGACTGCCTATTCATCACCCCCCCGTTGCAAGCCTATAATTCTTACATCTCTGGTGGATTCCTGGTAACTGGTAGGGATCCGGATTGCAGTCCGTTGCCTTGCAACCAAAACGTATCGACTGCATTTGAGCTTGTGGTTTTGCAGTAGTCGAGTTTTGCTTGTTCCAAATGTTCAACAGGAAGTTATCCACATCTCCTTGTCTTGAGTGGATGTTTTGCTGTTTTACTAACTTTCCTGTAGTATGTCGCGCAGCAGGTATCTCTCTGTGATGAAAAATCAGGATTATATAGATTATAAATCAGGATTATATAATCAACCTCCTTGGCTGACTACTAGGAGAGGTGTCCCATTTAAGAGGAAATCCGGAGAGTTTTCGGGGGGGTTGCACCCTTAAAAGTCAACCAGGTTGACGAGTCCTGGGCTATCCTGGGCCCCCAAAGAGTCCATCTCGTTAATTGAGATCAGAATCAGCGGCCGGCAGGACTTGGACTTGGACTTGGGACATTTGGGGGGCGAAGTTGCCTGGCAGCCGGCGCCAGATTCTGCACAGGCACTTGGACATGCGTGCGGATGCGCGCGAGCAGCCTTGGGGTGGGGCTTGGGGGGAGGGGAGCCAGCCCCTTCTAGGTGCATTTGTGCCCATACCAATTTAATGAAAAATGAGGGGTAGATGCCCACACAAGTGTTCCAGTTGTTCATGCTCTCCCTCAGATTCAAGGTCCCTTTATTGTTTGGTAGTGGAACCAAGAGGGAGAGTGTTTCAATAGGAATGTTATCTTCCCTCCACGAAGAAAGTCGGCATCTCAGGAACAGCCTGGTTTTTCAGAGCATACTGGACAAAAAGCGAGTGGATTACGGGGATAGTAGGCTTGGGGGCTCGGAGGTGGCATGTGACAACCATGTGCCGGAGCAAACAAGTGGATTCTTAGCCCCTTTACATCCCGTTTTCTTTTCCTACCATGGAATCCAATGCTTCTTCTGCCAGGGTCACGGCTGTTTGTTCCAACTTTTGGGTATGTTCTGGACATCATAAACCTGAATTCATGTTGATTAGTAGACCTGGCGGATGAATGGAGTATAGCCGGATATTGTTTTTTCCAGCAACACTCGCAAAGAACTGCATACCCTTTCACAGAGGATCCTCCTCAATCAAAGTCAAACAGGGGGTTGTGAATCCACTGGGTTCTCATTATCTTGTTGGTTTCAACCTGCGGTGTGTTCAACCGCTAAGCATCAACCACATCACCATCATTTGCTGTATATGAAGGACTCCGACAACAATGATTCAATCGGTCCTACTCACCAAAATCCAAGTTGAAGTGGGAACTCTCAATGTTGTCTCGAATGTGGCAGGGTTGAAAAAGGTTCTGCTGTGTCTTTTTGAACATTGTTGTAAATCACCAGCTGATAGCAACATGACTTCTAAGTATGGCCGTTTCCCCCGAAGAACGACTTGGAGATGGGGTTCTCCACAATCCTCATTTATTTTCAGGGTCTGACCTTTTCTTCTTTTTTTCCGTCGCCTGAAGAGGTCACGGGGTACTTTGTGTACCTCGCAAATGCCTTTGAAAACGACCGGTCCTTGGTCGGCAACACTTCCGCGGCCGCGCCTCAGCCAAAACAAGGGCTAAGAATTGGTGGGGCCCCTGCATGAAGGTTGAGTTGGGCCCATTCCCGAATACTCCCCAGGGAGTTGCCGAATAAACTTCAAACGATCATTCTACCAGAGCTAGTTAAAGAGAGGTGTAGATCAAGAAGACAGTATTTTATCAGTGGTAGTCCCTTTTTGTTTGTTGGCTTCTCCTCGAAAACGAAACGGTCAACCCCAAAGCAGGGTCCCTTAAGGGTCGCTGGGCTGCAAGGTGATTCCAACTGCAACCCTCCACTAGGGGCTTTCCACTCATTTTTCCAAGGTAATTGTTTTCCCAACAGGCAGAACCAGGCCACCGCGTTTCAATGGATGTCCTAGCCTCTCCGTTGCTTGGGGTGGAGGACAAATTGGCGTCACTTGCGAATGCCTCACAGTATTGCCACAAGCAATTGGAATGGGATTGTGAAACACCCTTTCCGCCTCAATCCGCACACCCAATGGTGGACCATCAAGAATCGACTCTTCATATAATACACTGTTGCTCAATACCGACCACGGCCCCCGTAGTGAAAAGGGAAAGGCCACGGGCGTGCAAAGACAATGGGATGTGGGGATTGGGTTAGTTAGGGTGTGGTCCAGCCGGACTATCATCGCTTGCGTGTTTTGGGTGCCTTTCCTAGTGGGCGAATTTGCTGGGATGGCAGGGACGGAGGCAAAGGGCGTCATCCACCCCCTGCCTTCATTCCAGCATTGATTTTACTTGTACCACGATCAGCACTTGCCGCCATACAAGACAGCTAAGCGCAATACGGTAAAATGTATTGTTGTAATAGCGATACGGGGCTTAGAGTGCACAATTTCGCACATTTAGATTCGACTGCAGGAGCATGGGTTAGGTTGTTTGGGCTTTGCGTACAGCGCATGTTGCCTTCGTTGATAGCATTTTTCCTTAACACAATGCACATGAATCAACTTTGAGGGAAGCGATGTTTGTACCGAAAATCTCCGAAAGGACAGAACCAGCTTGTTGCAGGTAACGGGGGCTTGTTTCTCATGTTTGAGAGACGAAGTGAAGCTAGTGTAGCAACCCTTTCAAAGCCACCATTTGCGTATTTGAGGTGTTTGTTAGTTTCCCTCATTGGTTTTAGAATGAGATGGTCGTGACCAGATATCCTTTACACTTTTGAGCGACAGTTGAAGACATAGGAGAACCTGTCCAAGGAACCGACCACACGGGTGACGTGTCGCAAACAATGAGGCCAGTGCCCAGAACAAAATAGGTTTGTCTTTCTAGGTAGAACCCAAACCTCCAGTGGTCCAATTTGATCATATTTTTTGGCAGGGGGTTGCCCTTGACAACTTGAACAGTCAACTACCAAAGAAAGATGCCCTTTTCTCGTTGGCCACTGCAGGCTTGGGAAATGCATCTGTGTTTTAACGACATGTTGAAACAATTGCAAGTACAAGCATAGTGGAACAACCTTTGCTCAGGTACATTAAAGCAGCCCCAACTAACCTTGTGTTCAAACGTGTTGAAGTGGTAAGTAAGATAAAGGCCAATTGTGAGTGCAGCATTCGACCTTTTGGCTCGGCAAAACGTGGGCAATGGTTGACGCATCCAGGTGATCATTTGCAGGTTCGTTGGTTGTAAGTGAGGGGCATGTGATCAAGAGGGACAGGAAACGAAGATCATGTTTGTCATAGCTGGGTATTTCACACAAACAAAGGTCTAACTCAATTTCCATCATCTTGAGAAACGTCATTTGGCCACCCTCTCCCCTCGGCGGAATCTTTTGAGTCAGCCCTTCGGCTGGTTTTCGAATGAGGCACAGTGAATGGGCGATTTACCCATCGACTTGGTTTGGCTTGCCGTTAGTTTACACCGTGGCGCCAGCCGCGAGCAGCCCGCGAGGTGTACGAGATCGACCTGGCGCACGACCAAGACGTGGGCTCCTTCGCGCATGTCTTGGTCTACGCATCCTCCTCCCTGGCCGAGCAGAGCACACCGCTGGGCTTCAACTTCAGCGTGCCTCGACTGGAATCGCGCCGAACAGAAACTTGAAACAACAGCAAAAGTCAACTCAAGTTGCAGCGAGCTCGCCATTCCTTTGTTTCCATCTTGCAAACGATTATAATTGTCCCAGACATGTTCTTTAATTAGGTGCTTGTTTGTTCCCGAAGTTCCTCCCACTCCAGATTCGTCCGGTGTTTGACATCGCACCCTTGCAGTGGTTTAGTTAGAGAAGGAGGACCACAAGACAACACAAAAAGCACGAAACACAGCACACACAGACACGCCGAAATTTTGTAAACCTCAAAGCGGAAGTCCCGAGAACTTGACTGTTTCATGTTGAACCATGAGATGGCGAAGTTGTTTGATGGTGCCCTGTTTAGAGGTTGGTCTGAATGGAAGTGAAGAGGAACCCTAACCCAATATATTGTTTTAGTCCAGGATCGGGAGCTTTTGCTACGTACTCTTCTATGAAAACGAAAGCCCGGAGAAACGATCCTGGCGCCTCCCCCACAATAATCACCCTGGGGTTTGCTAATCCTGGGTTCCGAGCAGGCAGTGCCAGGGTTTTTGGGTCACTTTGGGGTTGGGGTACCTCGGGCTCAGTTTTTTGGGTCCTTCCTGAAGTCCACCCTCGGGACTAGAATGTTGTTTGTGCTTGCGTGTCGTTGTTCCTACAGCAATTCGAATATTAGTGCTCAGATGCTTGCTTCCTTCCGCGTTCTTTAATTAGAGTTTGTTTGCTGCAACATGAATCATTAGGGGACACAGGCAACATGTTGTTTGTTTGTTTTTGTTGGTGTGTGTGTGTGTGGTTGGTGTTAACATTCTATTGGGTGGTCCCAAATCCCCAGAGTTTGACACCTCGTTTCTTTCTTTGGGTTTCTGAGTGTCAGGATACGGACTCCAGCGTGAGCGCTGTGAATTTCACGGACCGCGATCTGGATGCCAACGAGCTGGGAGGCACGAAGAGCGCAGGTTACGCCCTGATGGCACACACTGTTCTTGTAGAAGGTTCCCCCTACTCCATTGGGGGAACTCCAGGAAGTCCTGGAGAACGACCTGACAAGGTGCTCCAATGTTTTGTGTTGTGTTTTTTGTTTTTCGGGATGGGGAGACACCTATAGAACTGTGGGCCGTTGCAAACACTTTGCAAATCCCTCTGGTTCTTGTACGGGCTTGTTTGTGAAACCGCTCACCTCAAAACTAATCCAAACACTGGAGAACTGTGCCATCTACATTTTAGCAGGGTTGTGCAAATGTTGTTTAGATCACGAGCCCCTGGCCCCCCCAGGGAAACCAAAAGGAGTTTTAGAATGGAAGGGCGGAACATGTTGAAGCAAGATCCCGTTTCTTCCGAAGTCATCCCTGAGTTGTGGAGTTGTGGTCCAGAGGGGGAAGGTAGCGGTTTCCTTTGGATCTCTTGATTGTTCCGGGGAGTTCTGGGGGTCCTTGGTATGTGTTGGTTCCTGCCTGAAGGGAATTGTCATGTGCCAACGCCGGCGAGTTCACTAATTATTGAGTTGACCCCTAGACTCAAACCAAAAATTGGGCAAACCTTCTGTAGATTTTCTTGCTGGCCAAGGGGTGCAGGAAGGTACTGGGAGCGCACTTGCGAGCCTCTGATTTCCCCGTGGCCGTGTGTGTACCTTAAAAGTATACTCAAGCTCGTTCGGCTTTGCGACGAAAATGAAGGAAGCCACCGGCCACAGGTACGTAGAGTTGTTTGTCTCGAGGGGGTTCTCTTCAAGATCAACTTGCATTAATTAGATATGGCTGCGAGTCAATTTATAAGGTCCGGAACAGGGTCCGGAACCCACATGCGATCCAGACCTCCGTTCCAGACCTCCGTTCCAGACCTTGCCTAGAAACATGATCCAGACCTTCCGTTCCAGACCTTGTTTATATATTTATGTCTAGTTTAGAGTATTTACGGTAAGGTGACTTGGTAGGTGATTGACTCCCCCCTTTGTTTTGCCAAATGCTACGCGTTAAGGCTGGTGTTCGAGAGAAGCCTGAGGTGCTAACGATGGGGTTTGCTTGTCGAGCTTTGGTGGTTGGGGCTGCGTGGCTTGTAATCATTGGGACTTGGATGGAATTAAGCAGCGGTCCTGTTGACAGATGTGTTTTTGGAACGGCCTGTGAATGTTAAGGGTCAACCCCGCCGCAATCTGTTCGATACGATACGGTAACGGTTCGATACCGCTCTCGGTCGTCACATTGTTGAAACGACCATGTTTACATGCAGCTTGCTACCAAGTGCAAGCCACTCGCGGAACCGTTCCAGACCCCGTTCCAGACCCGTTCCAGACGTGTTCCAGACACAGCGGAGCAGTTTGCCACCAAGTCCACATGCACAGTAGCTACGCTTCTTACGCGGCCCGCCATGCCGCCGAAGAAGCCTTCAAGGAGGTGCCGTATCGTACGGCCGCGCGCCCCTGATCGCTTCATCCATCCATCTACCCATTCATTCATTCATCCATCCATCTATCCATCTTACACTAAATGAACGAGCAAAAGGCTAAACTCTCTCGTCATAAAATATGTCTTCGGCGATTTCGCGTTGCTTGTTTTGTATTTTTCCTCAGGAACGATATAGCGAAGCCCCAAAAACGATAACGTCGCATGACGTGCAACTGGCGCTTCGCGCTTCTATTTTGCACTGTGTGAGCCTTTTTTTGCCCCAAGCTGTAAGTTGCCATGACAGCTCCTGTCAATGCTCCTCGGCAATGCATGGTGGGCACATGTGTGCACGAGATGGGCCCACCCAGATGGATCGCTAACGCACCCGCGCACACGCACACGCACAGGCGCCCGCAGGCACCGGCGCACGCTGCGACCTTCGAGCTGGAGCTGCCAAAGTGTAACTTGCGTACTGCGCTGGTACTGAAAGTTGCGACTTGCGACCTGGAAGTTGCAGCCAGCAAGCAAAGCCGCCAATGTCTAGTCCGCTGATCACATGACTACCGCAAGGTAGAGAAGGCTCTTGTGCGCTTGCTTGGCTCTAGCTTATAGCAAGTTTGTTTTTTTCGTGACACTACACGCGCCCAGAACGATACCCAAAACGACACCCCATCGATACTCCGAGAACGTCCCGGAGCAGCCAATGTGAGGCCTACCTAGTGCGTTTGCTTTTTCAACCACACGCGCAGCTCCTTCAGCGCACATCCTTCCGCGCACACAAAGGGCCCGCAACGGGCCAGGCCGCGGACGCCTTGGCGGGCTTGCGCTTGGATCTGTGATCCGGAAGGCTTTGGAGAAGAGCCCGAGCTCCAAGAGTGCTGCCGCAGAAATTGCTCACTGCAGGGGGTTCGCCGGGCACTTTCCAAATCCGCACGGCGTCGCAAGGAGGGCGCTTTGACACGCGCAATCCTCGCAGAGGGTTCATTGGGCGCTTTGCGCGCTCGCGAGACCCGAGCAGAGGGTTCTTCGGGCACTGCACCCAGCGCGAAACGCGGAGAACCATAGGGGACTCGTTTAAAGTAGAATGAATACAGCCCACACTGACGCTGGCTCATGAGTCACGGTCAAAATATGCGTCGATCACTTTATCAAGGCGGAGTTGGTCTTTGGGTTCCGGAACTGCACGCCTTGTTTTTGTGGTTGCCGGAAGGGCAAAACCACACCCACAAGCCAGCCAAACCATACCCACAAGCCACTGGACACTCAAGATGCGCCTATTGGGTACTTTTGACCAAAGCTACACTCCCCGGCTTGTTGCTCAAAACTGCGTTCCCCGGCTTGCTATTTGGAGGTTGCTGGAAGGGCCAAACCGTACCCAAAAGTAATTTTGGAGCGTCGAAAACACCTTTTCGGATCATTCGCGGGGTGTGAACTGCATTCTGGGCCACCGATTGCTCTCCTTCCTACTGCTCATGCTTCTTGCTTGCACCCGCAGGCGCCACAGTCGGCATGCCAAACCATACCCAAAAGTAATTTTGGAGCGTCGAAAACACCTTTTCAGATCACTCGGGAGTGTGAACTGCATTCTGGGCCACCGATTGCTCTCCTTCCTACTGCTCATGCTTCGTGCTTGCACTCGCAGGCGCCACAGTCGGCACGCCAAACCATACCCAAAAGTCATTTTGGAGCGTCGAAGACACCTTTTCCGATCATTCGCGGAGTGTGAACTGCATTCTGGGCCACCAAAGTACTGCTTGCTCTCCTTCCTACTGCTCACGCTTCTTGCTTGCGCCCGCAGGCGCCATGGTCGGCATGCCAAACCATACCCAAAAGTATTTTTAGAGCGTCGAAAACACCTCTTCGGATCATTCGGGGGGGGTGAACTGCATTCTGGGCCACCGATTGCTCTCCTTCCTACTGCTCATGCTTCTTGCTTGCACCCGCAGGCGCCACAGTCGGCACGCCAAACCATACCCAAAAGTAATTTTAGAGCGTCGAAAACACCTTTTCGGATCATTCGGGGGGTGTGAACTGCATTCTGGGCCACCGATTGCTCTCCTTCCTACTGCTCATGCTTCTTGCTTGCACCCGCAGGCGCCACAGTCGGCACGCCAAACCATACCCAAAAGTAATTTTGGAGCGTCGAAAACACCTTTTCGGATCATTCGGGGAGTGTGAACTGCATTTTTTGCCACCGAAGTACTGCTTGCTCAAAACGATACCAAAAACGACACCGAAACCACACCCCTCGTGCTCGCATGGTGCTGCTGTGCTTCAAGTTGCTTATAAGTCTCGCTTGCAACTACCAAGTCACCGGACAGCAGTCCGGGCTGCGAGGCGCACGCACGCAACGTGTAGCTGGTTTTGGCACATGCCCTGGACTGAGAGAATATGGGCAAAATTTTCTGGTTTTGGAGGGCTGTCTGAACGATACTCTGAGCGATACCTCAACGACACCCGGAAAGCACAAAAGGCGGGCCACCGCTTGCCCATCAATCAGCGGTGGTCAGCGTGCGGGCCCTGCTCCACCTCCCATGCTTGTGGGCGGTCTGGAACCAGCGTCAAAAAGCATGTCATGGAGCTTGTGGGGAGGCGCAGCATCTACACCCTTCCTGCCTTCCTGCCTTCCTGCCTTCCTGCCTTCCTGCCTTCCTGCCTTCCTGCCTTCCTGCCTTCCTGCCTTCCTGCCTTCCTGCCTTCCTGCCTTCTTCCCTTGCTCCCTTCCTTCTTCTTCTGCCCTGCCTCCCTTCCTCTTCTGCCCTGCCTCCCTTCCTCTTCCTCCCTTCCTCTTCCTCCCTTCCTCTTCCTCCCTTCCTCTTCCTCCCTCCCTCTTCCTCCCTTCCCTTCCACCCTCCTTTTTCCCTTGCCCCATCCTTCCTTGCTCCCTTACTCCCTGGATTCCTTTATCCCTTCCTCCCCATCCTTCTTCCCTTCGTCCTTTCTCCTCCTGCTTTCTCTTCCTCCCAGTTTCTCTTCCTCTGCTCTCTTCCTCCATTCTTTCTCTTTCCCCCTTCCACCCTTCCTTGACATAAACACACCAGTGTCTGAAACATTGCAGAACGATATAGCGAAGTTTGCCTCTCGCTCACGTGTGCTTGAGGACTCCACACATGTCTTCCCAGAGGTCCGGAACAACCAGCCTTACGTAACTGACTCGTTCCAGACGTCCGCGTCACCGCGGAACGTTCCACACCAGAATATTGACCCACACCCATATATCTGTTTTTGCAACTTCAGCGGATTCTAAATGAGGATGCATTTGTTTGAACGGGACCCTTTGCAAGTTTCTGCAGGGAAAAATAAGGGGATCCAATGAAGAGGGTTGGTCGATTCAACCCTCAGTTTGAACATGCCTAAACAGCAACTGTTGAAGCCAACTTCTGGTTGGCTTTCAAAGGCGAAGTGGGTCCGATTGTCCAACCAAAAATCGGGCCCCACCCTGCCTCAGACCCTCCAATGGAGATCACTGGAGAACCTTTGAACCGGACCCTTTGAAATGCAACCATGGAGCTTGACCCGGCAATTGGTCAAGGTGTTCACTCTGACCAGTCGGCTAAAAACGCTGCTGCGCCATGTCCCTTGCGGCTTTTGGCCATCTTCAAGGGATGCCCAAAGAAAGACAATTACCACTCCAACCAAAATCCAGCCAGTGCCAGGGCCTCCCTTTAGCTCCTGGCAAAAGGATTTGCGCCACTTGGAAATTGGCCCCTCGAGGCGCATCCGAGGCAGCCAAAAGTGTTCAAGCAACACAGCTGGTTTCGGTGCCTCCAAACAATGAGAATCGACTCCTGGTGTTGTGGTCATCCCAGACAGCCAAAGTGTCCAGTTCTTCACTCATTGGTTTCGGGGGGACTGAGCTCTGCTGCGGAGACTTCAGGCACCATCCACTGGACGCTGCCGGAGGAGGACTCGCTGGTGACCCACTACGTGCCGTACCTGGCGTTCGACGAGTTCGGCCAGAACCGGTCACAGGCCTGAGAAATTCGACTTTTAGCAGTACCTTTAAAGGGTACCCGCAAAAGAAGACACTCCCATTTGGCTAATTCGTTTTGCGGGGTTTCCTTTGGACCCATGTTGATGGAGGTCTCGGAGCTGCCGGCGCCTGCCCTGGCTGCACACCTGGCGCCCGACCAGGCGAAAACGACTTGAACGAGTCGATCGGTTGAAAGGTCATTCCGAAACCAAGCAGTTGAAACACCATATGTGTCTGGTTGTGCCGTTTTTTGGCGAACCCCTTTGGCGTGTTTGCGTGTGTTTGTCCGTGTGTGATTTGTTAAGGGAAAATGGAAGCCATCCATGTTTCGAGGCCCTAATTTTGAGACAGCCACCACATGGTTTAGGATTCAACGCTGTTGGTCAATATGTCATGGTTTTCAGAATCAAACCCACATGTCCCATACTAGGTTCTGTCTTGAACTTGCTCTACATGGGCCGGCGTCAACATATTGGCTTTGGTTGGGGGCAAAAGCTGTGGAAAAACGGGACCAATATATCCCAGCAGGCCGTGTCTTGGCTGATTATCCCAAATGCAAACGGTTAAAGTTGCCGTTTCTAAACATGGCATTCCACGCTCCATGAATCCTTTACCGGTTCATTTCAAGAAGAACCTTGCTTAGGTGCACGCAAGGAAGTATTATTGACTCAGCTTATGAATTCTTACCAAACAATGTTCATTGATGGGACTTGCGAGTTGTATGAGATTGATCGAACATCATGTCATCAACTTGTGAGGATGTTAACCCTGCCTGTACAGTTTGTTGAATCAAAATGAAGTTATTTTGCAATACTATTGATTTGAGGAGCCCACAGCTCAATTGTTTACCCCTCTCGGACAACTTGAACTGTCTATCAATCCTTTCCGGTTGTTGATGGGTCACTTGAACAGTTGATCAATCAGGTTTCACCCTTTCCCAACGTGCATGTTCATCTGTAGTTGCCATTGAGGCGCAAGGTGCGAGCATGAGAGGTGGTTGCCGGCGATTTGATACTAGGCAACCATTGCCTCCTTGAAGTGTCGCATGTGGCATTGATTTATTTGTCTGATCCGTTTGTTCTGTTCATTTTTGGTGTGTGCTGCCAAAGAAGGCTCCAACCATATATAAACGCATGCGAACCGCTCTTCAAACTGTTGATGCTTCGCCGTGGGTAGCCTAGGTAGACTTCATAAAATTTTCAGGCGTTGGCAAATCTTGGGATGAAGGCCTCCAAACTTGAACTGGGTGTGGAAAGTTGTCCGCCCTTTGGATATTGGCTTTATGGCTAGGCTTATTCAATAATTACCAGATGTTGAATTATGACTCACGTCATGATTGTCGAAATTGGGTTCTAGGACCACTTTCTATACTAAGGTCCGCCGGTCGGAGCTGTGGGAATTCTGAAGCCAAAGTGGGCCATCCTTATGACTGTTCTTTTCACATTCAAGGGGGGTCCCGGGGATGGGGGCCTCACTCTGGCTTCACAGAGAGGAGCCAATTGTCCACAACCATGAGCAGGCATGGTATTTTTGGTGAGGTCACGGGACCCCCCTTGAATGTGATGAACCACTCACAAGGATGTGAACTTTGCATGGGTTTGACTGTCCACGAGCCCCTTGGGTGAACAGTAGCCCGTGTACTGGTGGCTTTGGTTACAACTGCCTTCATTTGGCCATTCTGGTGCCTCGCTGGTGTATGGCAGTGTCCTTCTGGGCTTTGCCTTGTGACCGTTTCCTCGAAGAGGGTGCTTCCTCCCTGCAAGAACCGGTTTTTTATGGGCCACGCGTGGTATGGGTGTGTCTCAACACGTGGATCTTCGAGATATGTTTGGTTTGCTGTTGGTGTCCCTGCAAGCCAACGTCATTACCCTTAGATGCATTCTCGACTTAGTGGTTATAAATTTGAACAATATGTAAGTTTACATGAGTTTTACCAAAGGGTCCAACCAATTTATATTCATACTCAAATGATCTCTGCATCTCTCTCTAAGATGGTTTCCACTGGCCCCCGATCCGCTAACTGCCCTTGTATGTTGGTTGTGGTTCGGTAGCGGACACTATTTTTGACTCTCGCTTTTGGCCGCTCAAGGCGGCTGGTGACTTCGCCCACGTCTTGGTCTTTACCCGGTCCGCCTTGGCGGAGCAAACCACGCCGCAGGGTGCCGTTCTGAGCAGTTTTGGCGGTCCTTTGTGGGTAGCCCTCCGCCACCTAACAACTGGGCCAACGTGTAATGGGACCCCTGGTTGATTAGGGGGGATCTCGCTTGAGATTGAATCTTTCACCTTGAAGGAAACGCCCGGCAAGGAACGCGAAGAGTTTGTCAATCCGGGTCAACATGAATGCCGACCCATCAAATGAGCTCCCATTTGTTGAAGGGACACGGGGGATTTATCAGGGGTCATCACTCTGTGCCTTTGAGCCGGTGGCTAAGATTCAGTCCCAGGTTTGGCATGAGCCAATTGAGATGCGAGGGATCAAACTCCCTGCCGTGGACATCCACCCTTTTGATTGGTCATGACGCATTTGCCAGGTTTGGATTGGGAAAAAATCCCTTGGACCTGTCGCAGATCCGAGTTTTCATTGAACCTCCAAAACGGGAAAGCACCCGGCGAGCCCACTACCCTTTTTTTTTGCAGGGCTACAGCAAATGTTTGGGACAAGAAACCCTATGGGCTTTACAATTACATGGAATCGCCTCCCTTTGGATTACAGTTTCCTCTTGACGGGGTAGGGTTCCTGTGCACCAAGCATTGTTTGTTGGTGGTAGGGTACATGTTTTGCTGAAACACACGCACATTTGTAGTGGGAGAAGCGGCACCGACTCTTAGGGTTTCCCTATCCAATGACACACCCACACACCCTGTGGTTCTTAGAATGAAAGAACATGTGCTCCAAAATCAATCAAAGACAGGCTTGTCTATATTTTCACACTGCCTTTCGAGACGCTGGACAAACAGCAATCCCTGTAGGATAACTTTTGGGTAAAATATACCGAACAGTCCTTCAAAAGTTGGCGAAACAACAACCCAAAGATAAGGTGCCGTTCAAAGGTTGCAAAAGGCATTGCCCATTTGCTGGTTAAATGGAATACATATTGCACCACATGGGTTTAGGGCCTGTCACCAAAAGCATCCATTTGCGTTTTGAGCTGATGTATGATTTGTCCAGTTGGTGGTTTCAAGAAAGGGCCATGACTTCTAAACGTGGGGAAAAATATGTGATATCGTGTTGCTCAAAACATGTCGCCCCTTCACAAAGTTGTGCGACCTCCGTGAAGGTTCTGTAAACGATACGTTCCTTTGGCATGCGAATGATTTGATGGAGTCAAACCCGGGAGAGCCCTGAAGCCTGTGCCCCAGACTCTTGCACAAAGAAGGCCAGACAAGTCTCGAGATGGTAGCTACCAGGGAAACCCGAAACACAACAACAGGTGGTTTTGTAGGATCTTAGTTGGAAACCAGCTCTGGTTTGAAGGCTAGGCCAGGTTTTTACAAATAGGCTTTACATGTAACCTACCATTTTTAAGGAGATTTGCGGGTTTTCTGGTGGTCGGTTTGCCGACTGCAGCTTTAGACCTGTAACTGTTTTCTTCAAGTTCGCCAGCTTTTCGTGCCCCAACAGGTGAACCTGTGGAAAAGGTCCTTTTGGCAAGTGTCAACGGACCTCAGTACTCGCAAGACAACTTCAAGAACCCATTTCTTTAGGGTATTTTCTGGAAGCCTTTTCTTTAGGGTTTTTCAAGGTGGTCAGGGGTTGACATTCTACCGTTAAAGTGGATGCTTCAGGTCGCAGCACCCCAATCTCAGTTCAAGCGAGGATGTTTTTCTCCAAACTCCCCCACTTTGGTCTTCGATCGCCCAAAGCGGTGATCGCCTTTTCAAGCTTCCCGGTCTTTTGGTTGCAAATGAAATTTTGAAAATTTAAAAACATAAGTTTCACTTAGGTCCGAAGTGACTCCCTCGGACCCTGAGCTCGCTACTGGCGAAGCCATGTTGAATCCGAACAACTTCCCAACTACTCCGCAGGTCAAATCAATGCCAGTCCACGTCAGACGGACCCAAAACCACGCACTCTCATGATACTTGCCAACATTTGGGCCATTTGCGAGGTGTTGTCGGGAAATCTGGAAGGACGCATTCCTTTCCACCAGGATCAACACCCAGACACTGCCCATGGCCCCCCGGCCGAGTCGCTGAGAGGTGCCTACATCGAGGACCTGAATGCCTCGGTGAGCTTCGCCACCTTCGTAGACCAGGAGACAACAAACATATTGGCGGTGGCGGAGAATGGGAGACGCCGCCCCGGAGGCCAAATCTCCAATGATTTATTTCCCAGGTTTTTTTCAGCATCCAGGTGCGGCGTGGTGAAGTATGTTTCTCTTGGGCGGAGGTTGGCATATATTCCTTGGAAAGGGGGTACTTGGCGTGGGCAGGATTAATATAGATCGCTGGTTGATATGGGGGATGTCGTGGTGTTCACTTTGGGCCGGGCAGCTACGGTCCTCGCCCATTTGGGGGGTCTCCTTTGCCGGGCGCAACAAACACAAAATCGCAATCTGCGAGTGAGGAAAGAGCTGTAAGGAATCGTTGCAGATCAGTTCAAGTTTAAAAGGTGAGACTCATGCAAACTATATGTTGAATTTACAACATAAATTCAATCTGTTTTTAGCTTTGCTAGTCAGGTGACACATCCGACTCCAGCGGGACGGAATGGAGATGACGGGGTACAGGTTTCTAGGCCTAGTACTGATTCTGAGCCGAGGGGTGACATGGTACGGTCATGACTCTTCATGGTCCTCAATGGCCCCTAAGATATAGCAGCGGCACTAGTAGTCACCAGGTTGCTGTGGCTCCCCTTTCTACTGTGGATGGACAAAAAAACCTGCACCAGTTCATTCATTCATCCCAACTGGCACCTTTGTCCGTCCGTACATTGGACTGCCCTCCCTCCCACTAGCATGGCACCTGACAGAGGTGCTTTTTGGAGGAAAGTGATCTTCCAGCTACCCCCCCGGACGGTGCTATGTTTGGGGGGAACAAGGTAGGGCTTCCTTCATCCGAACCGTGGAGGACTTGGATGTGGATCAGTTGGGGGGCCCCATCGCGTGGGAGGCCCCCGACTCCTTGCACCAGGCGTGAAATCCACGGTCCGGCTCGAGTTCCCAAACGTTTATGTCTTGCTTTGCCTTTGAAGCAAACCCGTATCCTCAAAATACACACCCTTTTTTCTGGAAACCTCGGATAGCCTGCTTGCTACAAAACAGATATCCTAAAAGCCACTGGATAAGAGCGAAATTTCGAGATTCTATTTGATGCCAACCTTGTTTTGGTGAGGTTGCACGGAAAGCTGAAATGAAAACAGCTTTGTTTTGGCCCGCTCATGACGTCTGTGTCCCAAAACACTTTGGCTACATGTATTGTGCTTTCCATATGTCTCCGTTTCTTCGTGTCCAACACAACTAGTTGCAGAAAAGGGAAATGTGAAGACCCTGTTCGGGCATTTGGTGACCAACCAGAAAGAGGAACAGAGAAGTTCACTTTTGGTATCACATAAAAGGTCCATTTCTAGAAGCCCTGGCTTGCTTTACATAGGTATCAGCAAGTGATCAACATGGAAGCCAGTTTTGTTTCTCTAACCATCCAGAAGTGGGTCCGGCGGTTTTAGCAACTTGGCGGATAGAATCGTATTGTTGGAAAAAAAGGCAGAACCTATCGCCCTCTGGCAAGATGGAGTTGACTTCCTTACGTGGATCCCCGTACGTCCCAGTGTTAGGCGAGTTTCTTCTTGGTGCGGAGATGTTTAAGGCAGACATTTGGAGTGCCCTGTTGTGAACCGGTTGGGCTTTGTGTATCCCTATTAGAGCCGTTTCGGTTTTGACACAACCATGTCTTGGCTGCTTTCTTTGGATGTTTGAACCAATTCTTGTTGGGTGAGCGTAGGCGTTCCCCAGCAAGATTTGGTGCCTTCGGTTGGTACCGGAATCTTTCCCTACCAGGAGGAGCAACAGCTATGGTATGGTGTGAACCTTACCAAACGTGAACATGATTTTGCACAGGATTCTGCAGTTGCATAGGGGTCAAGAGGGTTGGTTTGGGCAAGTATGCTATTCGCCAACCCGGATCAATCAACCTGGTGTATTCCGGGTTCCCATGAGTCTCAGACCTCACCTTCCCATGAGTCTCAGACCTCACCCTTTGTTTTTGGAGTTTGTGGTTGAGTGAAGTAGGTGGCACTGTGTGGGAACTCTACTCCTGGAGGTGGCGTTCTATGATGTGTACTTCCAGGGACCTCAGGCACCGGGCCGGACGGGGAGGAGACGTTGCCCGTTGCTGGGAGAGGTCGGGACTTTCATGAGGCTGCGGAAGTGCAAGCTTAGAAGCTTGTTTTCAAAATTTTCCCGCATGCGTAACATCCGTGAGATTCGTGCCGCTCGTGTTGGGTGCAATTTTCGGGTCCGCTTCTCTGATTGACAGAAATCGAAAAACCATCGGCAAAGGAATCTTGTTTGTTTGCTGGCCTTTGCGAGATGACCAACCTCAAGGGAAGAATATGGCTTCGCGTTTGGCCTTCCCTTTCCGGAATTATTTCAACTTACTACCCTCAGGCCAGGGATATTTCGGAGGACAGCCAGCCATAGGATCAATCCGCCATTTCAGGTGGCCCCAGCTTTAGCCGATTCGGGGCGCCAGGCAGGTTCTGCTGAGGAAACTTTTTGGACATGTATTTTGGCGCATGCTGCAAGGGGAGGCCCCAAACAAAAAGCACAACCTCAAGCTCGTTTTCGCAAGTCAAGGGCCGAGATCCATGGTTTTCACTTTCAGCCGCTCTACTGGTTTGAGTTGGGCCTCGAACCCTTTTGTATTCGAGGGTATCTCAAATGCTTGAGGAATCCCGGAACAGGGTGGCGTCCTTTTGAAGTCTTGCAGCAGCAACATACACGGGCCCCCTTAAACAGATACGGCCAGATAGAAACCCACTCCCTTCGCACTGGCTGGAGCATCGTTTGCAGTCAGTATATGTACCGGTGGCTTGCGATGCAACATGCTTATGCTGAACGTAAGCAACAACTCAAATCTGCAAATGTTTGAAGTTTTTTGGTTCGAAGCCCATACTTCCAGGCCGATTACACATCTGAAGCGCAAAGGAGGGTCTTAGGATCCACAGGCAAACAAAACACAGGAGCCTTACATGTCCGACCCTTGGATGCTTGAAGCCTGAACTGATGGATTGCCGTTTTCAGTCAGCTTTTTTTGTTTGGTGGTGCTATTTTCCCCAGTCTAAGTAAGTACTCACCTGTTTCAGAGCATACATTGGATTTGTTTACCCAGGAACGCTCATCTTTCCAGAAAAGGGTACAGTAAGCGGCGAGTCCGGAAACAGAGTTAGGAAACGGGTTGGACGAAGTCAGGAACGGGTGGGTCCAAGTCAGGAAACCGGTTGGGTCGTGTCAAGAAATATGTGAGTCAGGAATCGGCCCCGGAAACGACAGGAACAACGCGTTGGGAGTTGGTGGAAACGGCAGGAACAATGCGGCGCGGCGTTGTGAAAAGTTTGGAGTCAAGTGAATAAGGTTTCGTGAGTCACGAAACGACCGTAGTCAGGAAACGACGACGAGAACGACAGGAACAGCGTGCCGGGGCCCTCTCAAAAGTTTGGAGTCAAGTGAATAAGGTTTCATGAGCCAGGAAACGAGCGTGAGTCAGGAACCGACGCGGAAACGACAGGAACAGGGTCGTTGTTCGGCTTCGTGGTTCTCGTTTTTGTAGTCGCGCGATGTAACAGCTTCTTTGAACGTTTGTTTTTCTCATGGGGTGGCTGCCCCCCCCCCCCCCCAACCCCCTCGCTTTTTTATAGCGCCGTTGTGCGACTTGGTGATACTTCCTTGCAGACGCTGAGAAACTACAACTAAAACCTAAAACCTAACCTTAAGAACCCTAGACCTAAGCCCTACAAACGTAAACCTAACCCTAAAACCCTAAACCTAAACCCTAAAACGCAAGTTTTCCTTCACCTGGGCCAAGACGACATCAAGGCACAATGTCCAAAGCAAACGGCAAGGGACAAAGCATGCAGTGGCTTCTGCATCCCCCTTTGCATTGCGGCCAGCATCACGCATGTCTCTTCATGCCTCCCCTCTCCCCTGATTCGAACAGCTTGGCACGCCAGGTTGTTCCTTGATCCGAGCCATGAAGATATCAAGGAACGATGCACGAAGCACGCGTCAGAACACAAAGCACGCAGTGCCAGACTTGCATCCCAGCATCACCAATTCAAAAGCACTGACTACATCACTTCTGAATCGCGTTTCCTAGCTCACGTTTCCGCGTTTCCTGACTCACGTTTGCTGTTGTGATCTAAATATTTATAACTTTCATTCTTGACTTGCCTCCAGTTGTTTCTTGACTCGTGCCTGTCCATTTCTTGACTCATGTTTCCTGACACAGTCATTTGTTTCCTGACTCGGTCTAGTCTCCAAATGTCCACAATTATCAAAACCGAACGCGACTCTTGTTTGAGTGGTTGTTTGGGTTGGGCATGAGCAACCCTGGAGGCTGACGCACTGTCCAAGCTGGGCACCACAGAGGCTCGGTCTGGGCAAATGACGAGAAGGGGGTGTCCCCACCCTAAAGGAGTGCCTCGGGCAAGGCCAGGCGGGGTACACTGCTGTCAACTACCAGACCGACAGTTTCAGGGAGTTTGCGGCGGGGTTTCCAGGCGCCGAGTGGATCCGAGTGGAATGAGGTTCCTTTTGGTTAGGTGATGCTTGTAGGTTGGACAAGCAAGTCCAAACACTTCTGAGAACAACCCCGTCGGAACCTCAACTAGGCCAACTAGGCTTGATAAGTCGGAGCCTTCGAGCCCCACGCATGTCGACCCTTTAATTATGCAATTTTGGGTGCTAGCTGAACGAGGTACGATTGGGCGTGTTCCTCATCCAATCTTCAATGCTGCCTTTTCCTGGCTGGCATTTGACCCTTTAGTTCTTTCAAAGATACAGTGCACCCTCTTGGACTATCACTCCTCGAGGAAACTCCAAACTTGGACCAAAAGCTGATTTAGATCCTACCCAGTCCAGACAGGCAACCAGAACCAGTCCTTTGCCGTCCTTTGCTTAGCGCGGTTTCCCTCCTGGCGTTAAAGGAAGACGTACACGGTGATCAGCCGGTCTTGGGCACTCGAGTCTTCTTCCTGGGTGACCCGGCCGGTTGCTGATTGCTACCAGGACCCTTTTGCAGGTGGAATTCAGTTCTGAAGATCCCGTGGGATCCCACAAACTTCTGGCGACCATTTTGTGGGCTCTCGCCCTCATTCCTTGGCTGACATTGTGAATCCGCCTAACCAACAAGTGCTTTATCGTTGGCGCCAGTACTCGTCGAGGTGGGCACCAATCTTATCGACGTGCCAGTGGACTTCCCTCTGGGCAACCTGACGCACATCCAGATCTTTACTCGTGCCCCGGAGTCAGTTCCAGAAATTCCGGCGTCTCAAAGCACGATTTCATGCAGGTCTTTGCAGGGTTTCCCAAACGCATTCGAAAGGTTTGCTTTTGTTGGAGTAAAAGAGGAGGCTTCTCGAAAGTGAGCTTCTGCTGGGCTTCACGAGCTGTTGGGAGGGTACGTGCTCCAAACAATATTTACGCTTAAGTTGGCAAACCCATCCAAAAACACATTGTTGCCAACTGACCAGCGTGAGGGCTGGGGTGAGGCACGGGATGATCATATTATGAATATATATATATACACTATATATATGCAGACATACACATGTGAATCTACGTATGTATGTATATTATATATATATATATATTGGGGTCCCCCCCCACCAATTGGTGGTTTGGATTGTGGTTTGCGAGTTTGAGGCCCCGTCAAACTACCAATCCAACCCACCACACCAGAGGAAGCTGCTGTATAATATGTATGTCCGCATTCATTTGGAATCGCATCTCCTTCCCGGAAGAGGAGCCAATGTGATGTGTTCATTCAGGCCTTTCACGCCTGCCTGTTGGTTGTACTCATCTGGAAATATGATTGCCAGAGCGGGCCAGGACATGAAGCTAAGGAGAGTGTTGCTTGAAAAGGGTATGCTTGTTCCAGCAAAAATAAGTCATGTTGCCACTCCAGTGGGGAAAAGCAAGACAGGCTTCACCTCCATAAAAGGCGCAGTGGTGAAACGGTAGAGCCTGATGCATTGGGTTTGCCGCGGTTTGCCCACGAGTTCAGGATGCCAAGATAAGATGTGGTGTCAAAAAGAAGCGGGGTCAGATTCAACGACTCAATCTTGTTTTATAAATGCGCAAATAGGAGGTATGTAGCCAAGACAGCCTCATTGGTCAAAAGGCAGTTGAACGATTCCGCAAATACGGGTAGCTAAGGTTTGGGACATCTATCATTGCTTGGCAAATACGCACCCCGTACTCCAAAGACCAGCATGTGTTTGTTTGATGTCAACTTCTGAATCAAAGGGAGTTGTTTAAACTAGAAAGTGGACAACCAGGCTTTGCAACCCAAACCTTCGATCAGCACGGTATCTGCAATTACGGGGGCAATGCAACATGTGTTATCCCTGATCATCAACCAATGAAAACTTGTGCTTTCTGTCTTTCTGGGGCGAAGATTATGATTGCCGCTATCAACATTTTGACTCTGCGAGGCTCCACCTTGGTGGAGCAGACGACTCCCTTCGTCTTCGTGGCCCGGCAAAAGTCAAGTATTTGGTCAACACATCCAGCGGTCCATGATCAATTAATTTGTTTCGGGGAGGCTGGCTCAATGCCCCCCCCGCTCCAAATTGTGCTTCTTTGAAGGGTATGCCGCCACCGAAACCCAAAGGGCCTACATTGGATTTGTAAAGTACGATGAAGTCCATGGGATTCATGCAATGACTACAATGTGCACGTACATGAGCATATGTATACCTATATATGAAGCTTATATGTATACCTATATATATACGTACATATATATATATATATATATCTATATATATATATGCTCATTCAACATGCCATAGGATATGTCATATGGTTGACCTCCCGATTAATGAACCCCCTAATCAAAGACTGTTCTTTTCCCCCGACTGCCAGCCATTAACTACTACTTTAGAGGGGCCCCACAAGGTTTGCCACAAAAGCATCTACAATCGGTTTAAAACTCGTGGATCCCACCAAAACCTTCCCGGATTCCAGACGGCTTTTTGTTTCCCACAAAATCCAAGATGAATAAACACATCAGAATGGTAAAATACAAGAGCTATTGCCAATACTTTGCCAATACTATTCCCATCTTAGTCACAAGGGTTGCTTTCCCAACACCGAGAAAGCTGCCAGCCGGCAACAGCAAATGTCTTATTGCATTTCAAGCTGATAAAGGGTAGCCCCCCTTTCAAGGCTGGTGCCCCCAAAGTAATACAGAACCCCATTGACTAATTGTGGAACTCTTCAGCCTTGCAGCGAAAAGAGAACTAAGTTTCCTTTTGCTTTCCTATAATAGTTTTCCTGTTGGCCAGACAGAAAGAGAACCGGAGTGGAGCAGAGACGACCGGACTCAGAAGAAACAAAACCTGCAAGTCAGTATCTTCTGCACCTTGTCATAGGGTTATGTCTCATAGAGTATGTTAAAAGGGATTCAGGGGACCTCCAACATGATCGTGGTTTTCATGCATACAAATGACCATTCATTAAAGAAGGCGGGAAGAATTGCGGCCAACCTTTCTTCTTTTCCGGAAGATTTAAGGGGTTTGCAATCTTCATGTGATTGCGGATTGTTTAGTGATGACTCAAGCTCGCTCTTCGAGCGTTCAACGGTGAGCCAAGATGTTGTCAACCGCATCCATTTGAACATGTCATGCTTCTTGCTGCGCCGCAGGCGTTTCTTGCCTCAGAGCATTGACAACTGACAAGCGCAAAACTCAGCGCCGGAAGAAGGGACATGTTATGTCAGGGCATTTGGCTTTGTGGTTTTCGCAGCCTCGGACATTTGTGCCGAAACATGCTGGCTCACTTTGCACACCCAGGTTTGTCTAATTTGTCCGATCTGATACAGCATTGATCCCAAATTCAGCAGATAAGAAATTGGGTGAAAGCAGAAGGAAGAAAGCACTACAAAGTCTGAGCACTTCACGCTGCCACATAAAGTCTGAGCATTCCAAACCTTAGACTCGCCTGAGACCCAAAGCGACTCAGATGCAATGGGTGATTCGGTTCACGTGAGTCTGGCGGTGGGCGGCAGGATCATACCCTTGGCCGCCCGATTGTCAGACCATCGCTTTGAAGGATATGTGAATCCAGAAGCATATGTGAAAGATATGTCTAGAGGACAGATTCTTTCCTTGCGGAGCCCATGGGCAGAGACGGTGGAGGACGTCCGTGAAGCACTTGCTTGGTTCCACAGCAACAGATCCTTTCACCACACAGTGGAACGGAGGAAAGCGCATCGCTTTCGCATGGGGAAGCGGCGTCACGTCATCAGATCCCCCACAGTTGAGAGGGAGATTGCTAAGAATGTGAGCTACTTCCTGGAGAAAGTCCACAATTCAGGACATGCTTTGGAAGGATCATACGTCAACATCGGTGCAAATGATGGGATCTCTGATGATCCTTTGTCACACTATGCAGCAAGCTCCAGGGTGAAGACAAAGGAATTAGCTCTGGCGATTGAGGCAGATGACAACCTATGCGTCAAACATGCTGAGAATCTTCCATGGGTGAAGCTGGTTTGTTCTAAAGTCACAACGCAGAATTTGAGAAAACTCCTATCCGCATTTCCCAGTTTTGCCCGCTCCAACTTGGACATCTTGAAGGTGGACATTGACTCATATGACGGACCAATCATCGAGGAATCCATTTCTTGCCACCTTCGGCCCAAACTAATCCAAGCCGAAATCAATGCAATTCCTCCGCCTTTGCAATTTGCTCTGCTAGATTCTGAGCAACTTCGTTCTTGCGCCATCGATGTGGAGCTGCTGGGGGTATTCTCCGAGAAGTTGCCAATCAATGCACCTGTGGCAGGGGTTTCACTTTCATACCTAGTTCGGCGATTGGCGCCGCAGTATATTTTGATGGATATTGTAAGTCCCGATGCAATTTTCTTGCGGGCTGACATAGCGAAGGACATGGCAATTGAAGCTTTAGATGAGTTTGATGCTTTTGCACGTGCTTGGATTGATGTACACGGCATTCATCGGACAGTTTTGAGACGATGGCTTTTTGAGCTGGATGAGGTCGCACTACTTGGAGAAGTCTTTGAATTTGTGACTAGTTGGATGACTTCGCATATTGGCAAAATCCTCCCATTCGCTTTGTCGACTTGACAGTGTAGGCATGCTTCAGCATGCCTGGAAGACGAATCAGCAACCACGGGGGAGACTGAAAGATGAGTAGTTGCTCAGCTCGATTGACAACGTGAACATGCTGTACGCCCTGCGCGCCTGTGTCGGCTTTGGGGGGTTCAAGACTGCTTGTGTGGGGTGGCCAGTCCGGGTCTTGAACATCAACCAGAGGGTGGCTGATGACGTGTATCAAGTAGAATCGGAGGCTGCCCCGCGATAGGGTTTCTGTTGGCCGCAGAGCCCTGCAGGTCGCTCCATCCAT